AATGCTGTCCCATATAAATTTAATCAAGGTCTGACTAATATTTTTTGAGTTATCCTTAATAATTTATATTGAAGTCGGTTCTACAAAATTTTTAATTTCACCGTTTTTACCATTTGTTTTTACTGTATAGTGACGGGGTTGAAATATCCACTACTCCTTATACTCCCACGCGTGTCGAGGCGTTAGAAGGAAACTGAAAGAGAAGATTGTCAGTAGCATTTTCCTAGTAACATTTAAAAATAATGAAAAAACTGCGGTTGCCTACCAACCTGTCATGCCTGGCAACTATAGCTATGGGGCAATCTATGGAAGAGGCCTATGATCAACAATGGATGGATTTTGTTAGGCTGTAATGGTAACTATATACTACTATATATACTAAATACTAGTAAATACTACGACCGTAATTTGATAAATTAATTAAACATATCCGTTCAAAGACAAATCCGTTCGAGTAGAGTGTATGGCTGAAGCTTTTTTTATAGGATAGGGTGACAAACGAGCACACAGTCAACCTGATGGTAGTGGTAACTGTGACCCATAGACACATCTATCCTCAATAAAGACTCAAAATGCAGATGCGTTGTCACCCGTGAGGACTAAGATGGAATGCCTCTTTTCCAGTTAAAAGGGTCGCCGGTTCTCTACACTCACCATACGAGACTCAGCAAAATTAACGTTCTATTTCACGCTCGTATTGTGTGAGAGCGGGGTCCTACCCCGCTCGAACCGACCCATTCGTGCTACAACTATACTACTAATATAGCTGCAGCATGGCTCTACCACGTAATAAAAAGTTCTTGAGCCCAAAATGTCGCATAATTAACATCAATCTATATCCGGTACACCATACACCTACAACAAGTCTTTCGGCTGCTGATAGTTCTTCCACCAAGATTAAATAATGTTTATCGATACTGGGAAGAGTTTTTATAATTTATAACTGTTATTTCATTCGATAATTCGTGATGATACTAACTAATCAGAAAAATAGCTGATACTGAATCATTTAGATTACAAGTGGTAAACTTAAAATTTTATACAACCGACTTCAATATCAATATAATTTATTAATAAATTTAAATGGGACCACCTGGAAAGTACAGCCTTTGAAACGAAAAAAGAATTTCCCAGTTCCGTTTAGGCATCTGTGAGTACTTAATCGGTGAACATACATACAAAAAAGATTCCGACGAAAGAAAAAAAACGAAATACCTCCTCCTTTTTTGAAATCGGTTGAAAATAACCAACAAAACTGGATTTATATATATAATACGAAAGAATTAAGTCCGGCCTTTGTATTCTTTCGTACTATACTAGTATTATGTAGTATTATATACCAATGGGATTAAGTTTATAGTCAGAAAACCATTTATTTATACTTTCAAACAACTAGCCAAAGATACCATCAAAAAAAATCTTGTCTAGACATACACTGCGGTAATAAATGGGAATAAAACAAAAAAAAACATATTATTTTTAGAATTTCGTTAATTATCTGGCTCTATAAACGCTATGTCAATCAACAAACATTTTTCTTCTGACGACAGCGGTCATTAATTATGAACTCTTCAGAGTTCATTAATAACCGCTACTGTGCTCTAGTTTAAGCATCGTAAGTCGTAACAGCGCTTTCAACTGGTTAATATTATACAAGAATACCGTCGTTAAAATCCAATTAGCGTATTTTTTTTCCAATTTTACGTTTTTCCATTTAGCAGTAAAAACAATAAATTCGTATATTGTGAATATATCACTTTCAATTTCAATTCACAAGTCCACTGCTGAACAAAGGCCTCCCACAAGAAATGCCGCAACGCACGGTCTTGAGCCACCTGCATCCATCAACTTCCTGCATGTCTTACTATGCTATAGGGATTAGTAAGCTGAAGTGGCAATAGACCGGCCATATAGCTCGAAGAACGGACAACCGATGGGGAAAAAAGGTTCTCGAGTGGCACTCTCGTAGCGGTAGGCGAATTGTAGGGCTATCCCCCACTAGATGGAGTGACGAACACGATGATGTCGTAAGCCAAACTGGCCAGTTTTATAACAAATAAACCAAAATAAAATTTGTACATGATATGTCAGTCCAGAATAAATTAAGATGAAGTTTCACCAAATAACAATAATCGCAAGTAATAAATTTAAAAAAACGTGAACAGAAATAGTTAAAGTACATTCTAGTAACAATTTAGTACAAGATAAAGTGCAATGGCGATTTATTTCTTGTTTGCGTAACCGACCCTAGCGCATCGAGCTGTGCCTGCGCAAACTCATCTCTTCGTTATAAGAGTATAAGCGAGAGTATTTAGTTGACATAATTCTAACTCGAACAAACCTAAGAAATGCCTTTTGACAGCTGTCACATTTATTGGACTGGGCATTCCAATTGAAAAATCGGTATCTGAAATATTCGATTCTTTTGCGTTGGTAATCATTTATCATAACGATTTCTTATATTTACGCGAACACTATACATTTAAATAAAAACTAGTTTCAGTTTCGTAACCATGGGTGCTGTAAAGTGCTGGAAACGTCGGGAATATAAAATAAGTTAATATACGCGATAAAATCCGTAAAACAAGTTTTTATTTAAATCATTTATCAGTTTCTTCATATTCATTTCTCAATGCTAATTTCTAGAGATATAGTTATATAAATTAAAGACTGCACTAGATTAAAAACAAATTTATTTAATCACTTTCACTACAACTAGTTTAGCTGTCGTCGTCATCATCGTTGTTTACATTAATTATAATTTGATTTTTTATAATGCATTCAAAATTAATGTATCTTTCACAGTCGTCCATAACAATTTTCTTTGTTTTATCCATCACTTTGGCCCAGTCACCCCTTGTGTAGAGTTGTATTTTCAACAAATTAACCCTCCTCCGGCTGATCCCATATGGCAAAGTATAAGGTGCGGCACAGTGTGGTTGGCGTTTACAAATGTTATCTTTCCACTCATGTCCCTAAATAATTATTTAGAGTTTTTTTTTTTATTGAAAGTCAATTCCTTTGCAAAAACTTCAATTGGCTCTATTTACCATTGTACAAACCGCCATCGTCTAAATTTTGCTGCGACTTCACCGCAGTGAGATTCACAGAAAATATAGAAAATAGACATGTTTAATTCTTGATTTATATAATTTGTGCTACTCTTAATAAAAAATTTTAATAAACAAATAATATTTTTACCGATTTTTCGCATTGGCATTAATTTTAATCATCCAAACATTATAAAGTAGTACCTACATATAATTGTAACAAGGTCAAGTTTATTCTGGTATATTTTTATATTTGCTTTGTTTGAAAGATTCAAATTTAAATTAGTGAAGACAAACACAAAGACAAGACAAAGATACATTTATTGCATAACTGTGTGCAATATGATCTTAATACAAAACATATAGTTTTAGGCTCAACAGTCTACCCATGTCGGATATGCAACAAGAAAGAAAATAAATTTAAAATTAACCACTTACTAACTTAACTTTTTCTAAAAAACTCATTGAGAATATAAAAAACATTTTCAATTAACAATTTCTTTAATTAACGTATTTCCATTTAGTTGTTTATTATCTGGTGGTAACTGGTTGTATACACGAATAGTAGTAGTATAGGTACTTTTATAATAAATCATAATATTTCTAATAATAGGTAAGTTTATATCATATTTATCAACCGACTTCAACAAGGATGAGGTTTACAATTCATCGGAATATTATTTTTAATGTATGTTCACCGATTACTCGAAGACGCATGAACCGATTTCGAAAATTCTTCTTCTTCTTGTTTCCCAGGTGGTCACATTTAAATTTTATTAAAATCGGTCGAGCGGTTTTCAAAAAATCAAAAATAAATAATATTTATATTGAAGTCGGTTGTACAAACTTTTTAATTTTACCACTTGTTATATTGATGAAATGTTTTTCTTTGAATTCAAATTTCAAATTAAAATATTTACAAATAGACATAATTCAAGGATAAAGATTTCAATCAGTGTCAGAAAACCGTTCTGAAAATATCTCTTAAGTATTCGGTCCTATGCATATTGTTGTAAGACATTTTTTCTGGAGAACGAATGTGGATTGTATATCTGTTGAGTTCCCCAGTATATGATACCGTAAGTTAGGAGTGGATAAACGCTTCCAAAATAGACATTTTTAGTAACACTTACATTAGTAATCTCTGCCAGGATGGATAATTTGTTACACGCACAAAAATATTAGTAGAAAGAAATTTGTTAAATGTTTTTTTTTTTTAATGAAAATAAAGGGACAAATGGACTAACAGTTCTTCAGACTGAAATACAGCACACAACACAGCACAGCTGAATAGCAACGTAAATAAAATCTACACCTAAGAGTCTATCGATGAAAGTGTCTTCTTATACTAGTCTCCTCCGCTGTAAGACAGTGCATCCCCTGTTGTATTCTGGTTTCTGGCTTGAAGGGAAAGAGAGCCAGTACAAGTACAGCAGGTTGTAAAGCATTCTATATTAGTCCTTACGGATGACAACGTATCTGTAATCGCATAGTGGATTGCGATTAACTGAAACTAATATTAATATGATATTCTCACGGCCGACAAATTCAGTATATCATATCATATCTTTCTTAAAGTATTTTGTAAGAATTTTACTAACCACGTTCACCATACGAAAAATATCCGAAGTTAAAAGATGAATAACATAACACTGATATGTTAATTTTCTTACACACATACCAAGTACATATACATATGGGTACACTAGTTGCGATGAAAATTAATTAATTATAAAGTCAGAAATGCCTTCTTGTCTCCACAAACTAAAACGTAATGCTAATCATAGTAGACAATGCCCTTTGCAATGACAATCATACCTTTGAATACTCCAGAATAATCAAATGCAAATCAAATTCTGTTACCTGAATATTAATCTAGCAATAAACAACACATAGAAGTTCAAATTTGAAATTTAATGTACCGTCTCACATAAACTTTGTTTGTTCCAGATGGGCCGATCTATGCTTCCAATTTTAATACTAACAACTTTAGCACTCACGTCGAGTGATGTTCTTCCAATTGTAATAAATGAAAAAATAAATACAGAACCATTTAGCATTGACAACCAAGAAAACGACAATATATTTAGTAATAGATATCAAACCAGTAAAATAAATAGCGATATATTTTTTAACAACGGAGCATCGCGGGATAATTATATACCTCTCCCATCTATAAAGGAAATGATAGAAGAAATGTACGCTGGCAAAGACAATAATCAAAATATAAAAGAGAATGAAGAAAGTATCAACAAAGAAGAAAACTATGACGATAAAGGATATCGAAAAGAACAATGGCATAACTACCCTAGACAGTTGGATCGCCTTCAAAATTATCAGTACAAACGTAACAAATTCGATGAAGCTCCAAAAGCTGAAAATAACGATGCAGACACAATTAATAGTAACACTGACGATTTCGCAGCCAACGAATTGAGCCTAGATAGTACTGATGGCAGTCGTAATGTATATGATGATATTGTAGCCGCGACTAACCCCTTTTTAGTTCTTAAAGTACAATTATCATTCTTACGGAACGATATGAACAGAAACGACTTAAATGAATACTCTAATTTGCTGTCATTACTATCTGAAACCAATCAGAAATCAAAAGAAAAAGAAAATAAATCGTTTTTGAAAGTTTTTGAACCCGCAGTTAACGTGAAGGTTAAGAGAGAAAAACCTATCAAGATTCGAGATAATGAAATTTCAGACGAAGATTCATTTGCCTCTGATATAGGTAAGTATTTTATAAGTTATTTTAAATCACACTTTTTCGTAACTTTGTACATTATATTTAAGTATATAATCTATATATTAAATAAATATGAAAATTATGTTAATAATTAAAATATTTTTTGTAGTAAAGAAAGGTTTTATAGTATCACTATAAGAAACAAAAATAACATCTACCATAAGAACTACGAAATAAATGTTAAAAAGTAATTTTCATTTAGCTAATAAATGACGTCGCATTGAGGAAATATTATCCATTCTGATGGCTATCTGACATTAATAGCGTAAAGATAATAGTATTTCTAATGGAATAGGGGGTAAATGTGCCAAACGCAATTTATCACTTCTTCGAGCGATATACTTACGCGATTCGAAAGAAAATTGAATCAGTACCGCTACTAAAACAATCGTAGATTCATTGATGTATATTTTATAAAAAATTTAATGAATTTATTTAGATCTTCATATTATTAACGCCTTTATGTTTATGGTATTTTTTATTGTTACGAACTTTTTTGGTAAATAATACATTATAATATTATATTATACAGGCGGCTTGGAAGATGGTTGCAAAACCTGAAGGCCATGATACCTTAAGCCATTTAAAACGTATTAAGCTAAACTTGTCTTAGACGAAGTCTGCTCCTTTATATGAAATTGAATTTCTAAGGCTTTTAACAATAAAACCCATTTTTGCAATAAATTGATAATAGTGTCCAGTAACAGTTGTTATGTTATTATTTTTTATTTACGTAATGTGTGACTACTTAAACAAAATAATTACCAAACATCATCAAAAAAACATACCACGCATATTTAAGTTTAAGAAACCGAAAAAAAATTAAGGAAATGTTGTGTTCATACCATCATAAAAAAAACATACAACAAATAACAACCCTTTTTAAAACATGTTTAGTTATTGCCCTTTCTTTTGAGGTATTACTTACGCAGATGTCTCATCAGCTCCTGGAATTAGGGTAATTTCTAACTGACCAATAAAACAACATTTCTTATTAAAATAATTTATTTTTCGTGTTCAAAACGTTGACCACGATTTCTAACATAAGAGCGGGTTCGTATTCTCAATGCTGTGGTAGTAATAGGTACATTTTTCTTCAGTTATATACAAACAAAATACGAAGAAACTTTTTTATTTTTTATTATTATTTATATATATTTAAGTTATTAAATAAAGTAAAATACTTACCGTTATAATCGCTTAGAAATAAGGTGTTCACCATTTTTTGTAGAATGCGAAAAACCAAGCTTGTGTGCTGATTTATCACGAGCTAAATGGCCTCATCATTAACTATTTTACGAAAAAATTATGTGAAAATTATGTAGGCTTAAGTTAATTATTTTTATTTTTATTACAAGGTATATATCGAGAGTCCTCTTCCCAATTCATTTGTAGCGGTGTAATGGATTTCTCTGGCTCCATGATGCTTTCAAAAAGACACCTTTATACCAGATGCCTGATTAACTAATGCGAAACTTTCAGTTTTAATACGTATTATTTTATCTTTGTTGAATCTTATTTTTTCTTTAAATACCTAGCCAGAAATCCCAAAGTCTCAAATTTGCTATTACAATGTTCACACGAATAGCCGCAGGCTGTGAAATCAAATCGTTTATGTGATAACTCTAGAAGCCTAGTACTGGGCAAGAGCCTGATATGGGTGGGATATCAAGATATTATTGTAATCCCCAAAAGCATTTTCGTGTTGTTACCCAAATAGGATACAGAGCATACATACAGATTTTAGACAACATAGAGGTTTTAAAGAATAATAAAAAGTCTTTAAATAATCTTTAAATTTGTCAGGAACTACGTCGGACAGGAAGAAGACGGTGAAAAAGCGACTGTTTTCACTTTGGAGCCGCCTGCAGAGTTTATCTCACAGAGGTCACGAGCTTCACCATCGTCGACATTTGCACGCACTCTACGGTTTACCTGATAATAATGGAAACAAGATAGTGACCGCTCAAACGAGGGCCATCTTCGGGCGACCGCCAGGCTCGCCACTACGTTGGGGATAATAAATTAATAACAATAAAATATACAATAATCATAATGTAATAAAGTCCTCGCTTTGGTTTCGCCTTAGCTGCGATCGTGTATCATAGTATGCATGCCTAAGAAATAGTACAATAATATGACCAAATTCAAGACAAATATATGGGACCTACCCTTAAAATAACGCTGTTGAAACAATGTAGGAACTTCATGACCTAGTAAGTAAAAAATATTAAATATTTTGATTTTGGAAAGCGTTTTAATATTGTATACAATTGCTACATAAAGATAATTCTAAGTATTTCCATTTTAATATAGCTGGAATTGAAAAAATTACAATCTTGAGGTTTGATTTCAACATTGTTTATTAAACATTGTAACCCATTCAACGTTTTGTCATTTTATTAAATAAAATAAAATGGTTAGCAATATTTTTCTCTACATTTAAAAGTATCAAACGTAAAACTGAGATGAGAAAAGATATGTTATCTTATTTGAGCAGTAATATATTTTGCCCACTACGTTTACGTAACATTTAAATCGTATCTATTAAACTAACATTACGTTTAAGTTAAACGCTTTACTTATTTTTAATTAATAATTGAAAACTAAAAAAAATAATTTAAAATATAAGTTAAATTATAAAAACATCAATAAATAGGTTAAACATATAAAAATTAATACATAATAAGATATTCTGTAATTATTACCCACACTAAACCTAGTTTTATAATTAATCTTTTGAGTAGCAGCAATGTTTTATTTTTAAGAACATTTTTTTCTCATTTTATGATTAACAGCTACAACAACAGCCTGTTTAGGTATGTAATAAGAATTTGCGTGCCCTGCATCATTGTTAAGCAGTATAAACAAAGGTTGCCAACTTGTGTAATAGCATTTCAGGGACTTAATAATTAAAACATCGAAACGAAATACAAATGGAGTGAAATTTGCAAGGAAAATCAAGACATAAAAAACTTTAAAATATATATCCATCCATAAAAAACTCTTAGATCAGAGAGAGAGGCACGCTCTACGAACTTCCATTTGGCATGATCCTAACACACCTCTCTCGCCTTTTTTCACATAATGGGTGATAAGCGTGGGAGCCATGTTTTTAATTGGTCATTGGTCCTATTCCGTGAGTTTTGTAAAAGGCGACAGGGGGAAAGGGGGCGTCCGTTAATTACGTGAGGTGTTTAGGGGGAGTCGAGATAAATCTCACCCAATCTCACGTAATTTTTTTCCACAAGACAACACAAAATTCCATTTTTCTTAATTTATTAAATTAAAAAAAGATGGTTAAATCCTACACAATAATATACAATTAAAAAAGAATTATTGTATGTATTACTGTATTAAACATTTTGTTATTATGTAGCGGTTTGGTTAATTTATGTATTAGTATGTAAGTTTACTATAATATACACCACCTCCCACTGTCCAATAGTACAATTTTCTTCTTATCATAAGGTTGTCTGGAAGAGATCGCTTTTAGTTATAAGACCGCATTATTGTACCTACTTCTTAAGTTTTACTCCCTGTAATATGTTTTTAATAGTTTTTGTGGTTTATAGCAAAGTATATAAAAATAAGAATAGTAATAATATTTATCACGTTTATGCGAAGTCCACAAATTATATAAAAATAATTAAGCAACTTATTTTTTTTAATTAACCTAACGCAATTAAGCCCAGATTAACGAATTTACACAAAAATTCGCATTTAGAAAATACTCACGTGAAATTTGGGGGGAAATGAAGGGGTCGAGCCGTTGGTATCTCACGAAATTTCACCAGGGAGAGTGTGAGGGTAGAAAAATCACCAAAATCAGCTCACTTAGTTAATGGATGCCCCCAAAATACAACACGAGATAGACGGCATCATGTTCCTGATAGTAAGTCAAAATCACAAAAATCTACTATTGTCAACTTGCCTGCCAAGCGTTTTGACTATGGTTAACATATATATATAAATATATATAAATAGTACTAATTATGATATATTATGATGATGAACACATGATTGATGAACACTTAGTTCAAATATGTAAAAAATCATTTATACGCAACTCATTTTCCAAAATCAGCCGCCAAAAATAGTCGGTTTGCAGCTTTAAGCATAGTGTAATATACTGGTAAAATTTTGCGAAATAAAAGCAACCCTAATGGTACTTTGCTATAATATAATTTCACCACTTTTAATAAAAATATTCAATATTTTTATTTAATTATTTCATTTTGAATAAACATGTCATAGAAAAAAGTTAGAGACAACCTCATATCGCGTTTATATTTCTAAATTGCCAAAAACTGTCAAGCATCACACCGCGTGTGCCATAATTTCATTCACTTTAAAATTCAGGATCGACGTAGAGAATGTTAATAGAAATATTTAAATCATGGAAAATATTTGCTGTTATTATATAATTTTATCGTCATTCTTCAACTGAGTGTTACAATGATAAGGAAAATATGACCAACAATAGGAATTCTTATTTTAGGCAAATTACATTTTTATATAGAGCAATTTTCAAGGATTTGTTCACCAGTACTTACTTTGCTGTTATTTTCTCATACCCGTTTACATTATGAACATTATTTTTATTATTATTATTACTTTCCATCGCAAGTTATTAATTATTTATGAAACTTTACTGACTAAAATATCTAGGGTTAGGAATTGCGTCATGATATTTAATACACATACCAGACAATTTAAATCATTTTATAATTTTTTTTCCAATCAGGAAACATCGCAAAAGTCTCCAAATGAGATGTTTTTTAGCCATAAATAGTTACAAATCGACTTACAAAAGTATAAAATGTTTACAAAAATATACTATGTTCAGTTTCTAAAACGCTACCAAAGCGTTTAATGTAGGGAATTAAATTATACGATAAGATATTGGATTGCTATGGAAGAGGCCAATGAATAGTTCTGGATAAAAGTATTGAATCAATAGTGTAGAACCTGGGGAAATTGTCGGAAATTGAAAGAAGGAATTGCTCGATGTTGAAAGGTGGGACAATTAACGCCCCATCACCTCGTCTTCAACACGGGCACAGAATAAATAATAGTACTAACACGGATCAGGCAGGGCTTAAGTCCAGAAATCCCGACTTAATAGGAATAGTTGGAAGCTCTACCTCACCACGCAGGGCTGGGCAAGTGAGTGGGTTATGTTTACATCAATTTATGAAATTACTTCATTCTAATATTGAAATCATTTATGAAGGCATTTATTTATACGTTTCATTACAAACTATCATGGATGGTAACATGTATAGAGACCTTGTAAACGGAGAAAAACAGAATAAGGTCAGAAAAGAATGACGTGTACAATATGAACAGGTAAAAAAGAGTATGCCTACTCATAATATACATATAATATAATAAATTACGATAAATTTGGTAAAATGTAAAAATTTGTGGTTAAGTACTTACCTACCTAATGTTTTGTCGAATAAGAAATTGTTATAAAAATTATAATTCCACGTAAAAAAAGACAGATTTCTGTTTCCGATTTGGCATGCAATACAGTATGGTTTGAACGCTTTCCTACTAATGTTGTATTTTACAATAATAGAAACATTGTATTATTAGAAGTAATTATAATTATGTTAGAATATTGTGTCTGAATATATTATGTAAATAAACAGAATGTTTATCAGCACTAATGTGTATTATTTACCTACCTTTTTTATTTTCACTTCGGAGTAATAATATGGTGAAGTTAATATGTTGACTTAGTACTATACCCTAAAGTTAAAACACTGCCATCTATGTTAAGAACACAGAATTACGTTAAAAATGACGATTAGCGGCTTGCCATGAAACATGTTTGGTAGCTGTCACTTAACATCAGCTGTTTAATAAGTTTTATTTTCTAAACAAAAGCACTAAGCTAAATATTGTTAAATGTTAATAAATTAATTACTTAAAAAGATTATTCAACTGTCAAAATAGTCTAATTCTCAGCCTACAATGGTGGTAAAGTATTTTAATACAATAATTTCTTTTTCTAAACTGTATGTTATGTAGTTTTAATCCGATTTTAACAGACACTTGGTATTAAAATAGTACTAACTGTAGATATGTTTATTAATATTATAAGTCACAGCTTCTTTGCTAATATATTATTAGGTTTTCAGTATGCGAAATGAATAAAAATACTTAAGTAAAATTAACCTATGTAAAAATTCTAACCTCACTACTTATATTAACTACATTATTCCCAGTAAGTTTTATATAAATTGGTAAAAACAATATTAAAATGATTTGCAAATGTTGATAAACCATTACTTCTAGTGCTTCTATTACATTTCTTTTAAATAAAATATTTTATAATACTCGCATAAACCTCAGACTGACAAAGAAAGATAAACGGAGGCTCCGTCACGGAACGCTACGTAGGTACGTAGATACATTTCAAAATATATATAATACCCTGAATCATGCTCGGGTAAAAGACGGCGATATATCGAAATATCGATATTTTCTCATTAATATATCGTAAAATATCGTCGAATTTGTAATTGTGGTATATCGATATTTATTTTAAAGTATCAATTTCAATATATTTTAATTAATCAACAAAACATTAAGCAACAAAAGCAGCTACAAAAACATTCATGTGTTGACGTGTCTAGTACATCATACAAAACATGACAATATATCGATATATTTTCTTCAATTGCCCATTCCTAATGCTTAACCTACATTTTGTCGTTTCCTCAGGCACACATCTTCCTTCTTTCTTTCTTTATCAGCCCGTAAAAGTTAGTTTGGCGCTGATCGCATATATGGACATATGAATATGCGTCTAAAACCATGTCCTTGGTTTTGGATTTGTTTTTCCGCCTAAAAACTTAAAATTTAACTTAAATTACGATGGTAGAAATATAAGAAACATTAGTAGGTACATAATAGAAATACTCGTTGTATTACGAAAATTGAAAACCGCAACTGGTCAACCGCTAACTTTGCTAAAGCCTTTTCGTGTTACACTGGGCGGTTTCTT